GAGTCATCTTGAGTCGTCTCGAGTCTTCCAGAGTCGTCTCGAGTCTTCCAGAGTCATCTTGTCTTTCCGAGTCGTCTCATCTTTCCAATGTTTTCACAGTTTTCCTGTCTTCTCTCCTTCTGGTCCTTTTCCTCGACCGACCTCTGCATCTCATTTAATCACTTATCAAAACTTTCAGCTCGGGGCCGATGAACTTTGGATTTCTATCGTTTTTAGTTACTTTTTGAAAATAATTAACCGTTAACAAATAATTTCCCATAAAAAGACTCTTCATTTGTTTTCTTTGAAATCTGCTTCAACAAACTGGATCTTTTTTTTCCTCTTCTGCTGCTTTTAGCTAACATTTTGGCTTTTAGCTAGCATTCTGCTTCTTTTAGCTTTTAACTATTCTTCTAGTAATTATAGCTTTAGCTACTGTAGCCTTTCAGCTTTAAATTAACATTCTGCTACTTTAGGCTTTTAGCCATTATTTTGCTACACACAGCTGTAGCTAGCCTTTTGGCTGTTAGCTAGCATTCTGCTTCTTTTAGCTTTCAGTCAATGTTGTGTTTAGTTTGGGCTCTCAGCTGTCAGATGATGGTGCGTTCAGGCTCATCGCGGCTGCTGATGGTTGGATTGTCACAATCAATCGATGCGTTCATGGACAGTGGGAATGTTTGCTCCAGCTGGGACCACATGTCGCTCTGATTTTCACTCCCAGTCTGGATTTGATCTGATGTGACTGGAAACGAGTCTGTTCCGGTTTATTCTCCTTTGATGTCTCAGCAGGACAGAAATAAAAACCTGACGAGGACTCTATTCTATTTTATTTTGGTGGTTTCCATTCAGAGCTTCGGCTCGTGCCTCCAGAAGAGGCTCTGAAGTGACGCTGCATCCCACTCACAGCAACCAGAACCCACTCAGATGAAAGGACCGGGTCAGAACCACCAACAGAACCTGCGCGGCTCTTCCTTCAACAGAAACTTCAGCTCGTTGTGTTGAAGCAGCAGAGCTACGCTGCATTCAAGGACGCAGTGAAAAGGACGGAAATTAATTAACATCTTTATTTTTAACACCAGTCCAGCTGAATGACGTTTTATTTATTTATTTTTGCTGTGGACCAAACAACAGAAAATGAGCTGCTTGAGTCAGAAAATATATATAAAATAAGAAATTATATTTAGTTAATTCCAGGATCTCTGAGGGTTTTAATTTTAAATGGGAAGAAAAAAATAGGATATTTTAATTTTGTGCATTTTAATACACAACTTGCTGATAAAGTAAAATTTAATTTATTGTGTTTTTGCAATTCAAGGAGAATATATTTGTGTGTGTCACTTTTGAAAAAGACGTTTAATCTCAGTGAGTTCTACCTGTTGAATAGATTTAATAATAATAATAAAATATTCCGTCTTTTCCTCACAGTTTGGATGTGTCAGATTCATTTTACAAAGTTATGAATTCCACAAGTTGAAACGAGTTTTATTTTTAAATATTCATTTTTATTTGTAAATAGCTTTTTTTAAAAGCCGGATTCCTCCTTCATGAAAGCTTTAAAGTTCTTGTAACGATAGATGGCGACAAAAAATAAAAATAAATAAGTTGAAACAAAAATCCATCTTTCTGCTGTTTAACGCAGTCCCGCCCTCAGTCGCGCTGTTTCCCAGCGCGCCTGAACGCAGCACCGCCCCTCTCTGCGGACCCGCCTCTGCGCGCGGACCGAGCTGCACGAGCGCTGACTGGCTGCGTGGGCGCCGCGAGGAGCCTCCTATAAAAGCAGGGAACCCACGGAGCGACGCGCGCGTCTCTGTCCCGCTCCTCTGGCAGCAGCTGGCCCGGTTCGGTTCGGTTCTGCAGAAAGAGCCTCGAGATCAAAGGAGACCTCCCGGTTTGTGGTTCTGTCGCCACGAGCCCACAAGGAAAGATGTCCCGGACCGACGAGGTGCACCGCATAACGGAGAACGTTTACAAGGTGAGTCACCTGCCGCCGGACCGGACCGGAGCTCCGAACCTTTGGAAGCCGAACAGAACCAGGGTCGGTTCGGTTCGTTCAAAGCTTCACATTAAAGAGGAAACAGGTTCCAGAGCAGCGGCCGAACTTTGTTCCTCTCAAGGTTCCGGTTCGAACCGAACCTGCAGCAGAAAGTCCTGTTTAACCTGACCCGACCTGTAGAACATGATCACCCGGCTTCACCCGGGCTTTGGGTTTGGACAGAACCAGAACTCCTCAGGAGCTGTGTGAAGATTGTTGTTTTAATTTGAAAATCTCAGATTTTCGTTTTCTTGCTTTAATTTGAAAAGATGAGGAGCACGCCTTGAGGTGGAGGAGGTCCGGCTCCTCTCAGCTGGACCTGGGTTCTGGTTCCAGCTCAGTAGCTGGACCTGGGTTCTGGTCCCAGCTCAGTGAGGAGGTCCGGCTCCTCTCAGCTGGACCTGGGTTCTGGTCCTCCTCCTCGGCTGTGGCCCATGATCCATGAGTTTGACTGAAGACAACTGGATTAAAGTCACTTCACTCAGGAGCAGCATGTTGTATTTTTATATTCTATAATAATAATCTCATGTTGGTGAAAGGAATAACAGATTATCGTTTAATTTCTGTAAACCGTGTCAGGACCCCCCCGGCCTGGTGCCCCCGACCCCCTGTGGGCCCCCGACCCACTCGTCTGAAGCTGAGAACGTCTCTGTTTAAAACGATAATCTGCAGCTAAACTCAGATTAGAGCTCAAATTAAAGGAGTTCTTTGTTTTATCAACACAAAAGTTTATTTGTGGAGTTTCACTTTTTAAAATAAGCCTGAGATTAAATTAATCCAGATTATGCAAAAAAATCATAATCCTGAATGAAGAGGTTGAATTTTCCATGCACTTTGTTTGTTGGAGTGTTAAACTGTGTGTGTGTGTGTGTGTGTGTGTTAAACTGTGTGTGTGTGTTCTCAGGGGTTGTGTTGTAATCCCAGCAGGTTGTTGGGTGGACCTGGGGGGCCGGGCGGGGCTGGTTTCACACGATCAGCTGATTGGTCTCAGGCGTCGTCTGGACAGTTGTTCCTGCAGATGTTTTCTCGTCGTCACATCTGCCGCTCTTTTCAAACGAGTTCACGCCGCCTCCTGCGGGAGGTGTTGGCCGAGTCCTGACCACACGCCCCCGCCTCCTCAAATCACGCCTCCGTCCCTGCAGAGGAGCAGCAGGTTCTCCTCAGACTGAACAGAGTTAAACCAGTGGTTCTCAAACTGGGGTCCCTGGACCCCCAGGGGTCCGTGAGCCGCTGCTTGGGGGTCTGTCAAAATAAATACAAACAATTGTATTTATTATCCGGCACATAGATGTTGAACAACCAGTTCAAATACATCCAAATGCAGGAAGTCCATCTACTTCAACATTTTCAGGGGGCGGACCCCCA